TTCAAATATTACAGTCTACTTCAATGGGGAGTACAATTATGTGGGATGTAAAACTAATGTTGCACTCAGCTTTCTAAAAAGTGTATTCATGGAATGTGGGCATCACCGACCAAGCCAGCATTTAGTGCTCATCGCTAATTGCCCAGACAACCATTAAGAGTCAACCACATTGCTGTGGGTCTGGAGTTACATTTAGGTCAGACCAGGTAAGGATAGCAGATTTCCTTCCCTAAAGGACATCAATGAACCAGACAGGTTTTTCCCCAACAATTAGCAATGGTTTCATAGACATCATTAGATTATTAATTCTGCATTTTTTTGAGTTCAAATTCCACCATCTGCTTTGATGGGATTCAAACCAAAGTCCCCAGAGCATTACATGGATTAACATTCCAGTGATATACCATCACTTCTCTCAGGGTTAAAGCTCACCCCAGTTGTCTGCTTCACCGATGAAAAATGACCGTTAGACAATGGAGTAAAAGGTGCTGACAGACCAGGCAACTCGAAGACACAAGAACTTTCAGGAGAATTGGGGAGGAAGGCTGGGAGACAGAGTTGAGATAAAATTGTAAAAAAAACAAGATGGTGAGGTGGGGACACTCCAGCTCCTAGTGTTTTTGGGTGTGGTTAGGAATTTACACTTGGAATCACAACACAGTCCTGTTAAGAAATCGAAGGCAGTTAATCCAGGATCACTATGAAGCAAGTACGAGATATCACTCCTCAAGAAGAGGAAAAGTTGGAAAGATAACCATTCCTAAACTCTAAGACAACAAGGTGCAGGGCTGGATGAACACAGCAGGCCAAGCAGCATCATAGGAGCAGAGAGGCTGACGTTTTGGGCCTAGACCCTTCATCAGAAAAGGGGGAGGGGAAGGGGGTTTTGAAATAAATAGGGAGAGAGTGGGAGGCGGATAGAAGAGGGATAGAGGAGAGGATAGGTGGAGAGGAAACAAACAGGTCGAAGAGGCGGGGATGGGGCCAGGAAAGGTGAGTGTAGGTAGGGAGTTAGGAAGGGGATAGGTCAGTCCAGGGAGGACGGACAGGTCAAGGGGGCGGGATGAGGTTGGTCGGTAGGAGATGGAGGTGCGGCTTGAGGTGGGAGGAGGGGATAGGTGGGAGGAAGAACAGGTTAGGGAGGC